AAAAAAACCAACAAAAGCCCCACAAAACAATAGCAACAAAAAACACGACAACAAAACCACCACAACCAACAAGAATAGTAAAAATTCCTACTTATCTAAGTGAATCTATACACCTTTGCTGGGGTTTATAAGCTTACTGAGGTCTGCAGAGGGACTTAAAGTTTCAGTAAACCTTCATAGCTGTTCAGGAAAAAAGCAAGCTGAGGGGTAAGGCTTAGAGGGGCAGGCAGCTGCTTTGACCTCAGCCACTTGCAGCATGTCCTACAGGTCCTGCTCCCTCACACCCACAGATGCTACAGGCACAGTTTCAGCTCCCCTTTGGAAAACAGGGCTCTCAAACAAGCCCAGGGCACGAGATCCTGACATCTTTCTGCATGCTGAACAGCTTAAGTTACTGATCTGTGTGGGGCTGCTTACAAAGCACTCAAGTAGGGAAGAGAAAGAGCATCAAATCAAGTGTCTGCTTTTAGAAATGCACTAAACACACTAAAAATACATTCTGCTAGAGGAGATGGCACAACAGCTAAACCAGCAGCTAGGAAAATAATACTCAATTGCTAAAGCGCCTAAATACAAATATATATGATTTAGAGACTCTAATTTGGGTAAAGATAGTTGGGATGAGCCAATTTTCAGGAAGAGTCATTAACATTCAGAGATGGCAGGCACTGCTTTTACTGCCCAACTTCTCTTTTTGACCTCTGTTAACCTCACATGGGCAGCAGGGAATGAGGCAAGGGGATCAGCTCTCTCTGCTCCATCATGCAACTTTTTTAGGACACAACAGTGTCACACTACACAAAGATACAAAACAGCAGCCTGAGACCTGGCACTGTGGACTCTCACCATAATTGACAACCCACCTGCGGGCAGTGCTCCGGGGCCATGCTGCTGGACGCCTCTGGAGCAGTTCCTTGTTTGGAGGCTCTGGGAGGAAAACCTTTCACCTCGTTCACTTGAGCTTTCTACACCCACAGATCCCTTTTCTGGCAGTGCAATCCATCTCTCCTCATCCTGTGGGCAGCTCAGTCTTGGACAGTACACAGGAGACAGCGCTGAAGTTGTTCTGTCAGGGCACAGCAGCTGCCAGGGGCTCCCTAAAGGACAGGAAAGCACCAGGAGCTCAGCTGCAGGACTGAGCTTGTTAAATGTGCCCAGGGGGGACTGAGCTGAAGACCCATCAGTGCCCCAGGGCCCAGCACCTGCTGCTCCCCTCACTGCTCTGTGCCACTGGTAAGAGTCTGCATGTGCCAAGGTCTCAGCCCTTCTCTCTGCCTCCCCAGCCTGGCCTGGGGTTTGTACATCTCAGCACAACAAGGTCTGAGCTGTGTCCAAGCGTTCCCAGATAACAGTAGCAGGACGTGTTACTGGGTGTGCAGTATGTGCTCCTGCTGCTGGGGATTCACAAAGCAAGGATAAATGAAGGACTGGATTCCTGTGCTCTCTCTCTCATAGGTGACAGGTGATCCCAGAAGGGTTATGGTCCCACATTTGAACTTGATACTCAGTGTAATATGTCTTTTTTGTGTCCTGCTCATGCAATACACTGAACACAGACCTGTCAACAAGATCAGACAAAGCTTAGGTTAGATGTGAAATTTCTTTAAGTATTATCTACGTACTGCAAGAGCTCTGAAAGCGAACAATATTACATACTTTGCTCACTAGAAAAGGCTCCAGGATAGATTTACTGTGCAAGCTCCAATCCAAAGCAATTAAAGTGAAGAAAGATTTCCCCTAACTTAAGTGCCATGGATCATAGCCCTTCAGCTCCATCTTTTCACGTATCTTTACAGGAATAAGAAGTTAAAGATACACTTGCTACATCTTGCACAGACTGGAATTCAATTAACATTTTTCTGCAACAAAACTTAGGAGAAGCACTTCAGAGCTGCTGCTCACAATGCAGAAGCGACTGAACAAATGATATTCTCATTAGCGCTCTGCCTTTCCCTGCTGCGCAAGCCAAATCCTTGAACACTAAAAGCACCTCAGCATCAGCTGGGTTCACAGACATCCAGAGCAATTTTTCAAGCTCCCTGACTTTTATAGACCAGGGGGGAAGGGATTTGGTGTGCTTTAATCCGTTCTATTATATGAACTCAGAAATGGTTTTTACTCTCTAGCGCTATAAATTAAGCTGGCTGCAGTTATTCTATTCCTGATTATGCTGAAAGTTACTGGCAATAATTTGATGACTATATTTTCTTGTCTTTTTTTTTTTCCTTCTTTTCTGAATTAACCTGTGAATTTATTTTTCATGGTAGTAAGTAAATAATGCAATAAAACTGAAGACAGTAGCCAACACATGCATATCTTGATGCCTGAAATTCTGGAGGAACAAGTAAAAGCTTCTTTACTTTTTTAGGTGAAATTTACTGTATTCAATTCCAGCTCTTTAGGCTGGAAGAACATGTTGTACAAGCAAATCACCTTATTTTGCAGTCTCCTACATTTTATTTTTAATATAGAAGACTAGCCACCTTTTCAATGTAAGTGAATTTACCTTTGCAAGTCTTTAGACAAATACTATCCCAATCATTTTAATGACTGGAGAAACTTAGGTCAAGAATAATTTACAGAAAAGCTTCTGACTCGTGCAATATAAGCTACTATTAAGTACAACTAAAGACAGAAAAGTATCTGTTTTACAACTGCACCCATAAAAATATTTTGAAGTAGAGAACAAATTCCATCTGCTTGGCTTCCCCTCCTTTCCTCTGACCACTGAGACAATTTGCCTCCTAAACCCTGATAACAAACAGAAAGAAAGTGAGGCCACACCTCAAGTGCTGTATCCAGTTCTGGGTCACTCGCCCCAAAAAGGACATTGAGGGGCTGAAGTGTGTTCAGAGAAGGGTAATGGAGCTGGGGAAGGGTCTAGAGAGCCCTGTAATGAGTTGCTGAAGGAGCTGGGAGGCTCCTGGAGAAAAGAAGGCTCAGAAGGACCTTATCATTCTACAACCACCTTAAAGGAGTTGTACCTGACAGAAGCTGGGGCTTGGCCTCTTCTCCCATGTAACAAGGAGACAGGACAAGAGGACATGGCCTCAGTCTGTGCCATGGGAGGCTCAGGTTGGACACCAGGAAGAATTTCTTCACTGAAAGGGTGGTTAAGCATTGGAACAGGCTGCCCAGGGAGGTGGCAGAGCCACCATCTGCTCAAGAGTTGTTCAAGAAACCACTGGAGGTTGCATTTAGTGCCTTGGTTTAGTTGACATGCTGGTGTTCAGCCAAAGGTGGGACTGGATGGTCTTGGAGGTCTTTTCCAACCTAAATGATTCTGGGATTCTGTGGGAGATAAACACAGATTCAGATTATCTCTGGATGAGTTAGGGGGCACACTGTACATTTTAAAGTGTAATACATCAGCAGCTTCTCTACAGAGTGACAGTGCTCTTGGAGTCTAACTGTGCCTCTAGTTCATGTGAATTAATAAATGAGTCTTTGATGATTTATTTCAATACAAATTACTTGCCAGTGTAAGCACAGCAGAATCCAGCTCCAGGCTAGATACTCGGGACCTTAGCAAATACCAGCTTCTAAAAGCTTCAGTAAAACCTACTTGGGATTCCATCAGACTCAAGTGCCCATGTCAGTTACTGTCAATTATTCTGTCTATAAGGCCACGTCAGATACACAAAGACACTATTCTGACAGCATGACTGTCCTAAAATGATAACTTTAGCATAATGCACTTGACAATAAAAAAAGCAATAATAGCTATTTTGGGGACAAAAGAAAAATACAATGGATCTGATGACTAAACGTTCTGGTCCCCAACGTAAAAGCAAAGTAGATCCCTGTCGTATTTAACTTGATTCCTTTGAATTAAACACTTCCATTAAAGTTTCCCACAGTAGCTTTAATATTTAATTATGTATTCCACCAAAGAAAAGAACAAAATCTTTGCAAAGGGTTTTTTTGGGCTTTTTTTTCTGGATGTGAAATATTTATCAGCATATCTCTTTGGACAAGTATTTTTATCCCCCAGGCAGGGAAAAAAAGTTCCACGTTCAAATCGGTTTCAAAACATTTTATTTTACAGCTTGAAAGTTTTCTATACTTCAGCACCTCATGCCGTGACTTTGTTATTTCACTTGTTAATGAATGGTAATTAAATCTCTTTTGGCTGAAAAGGTTGGAGGGCTCCTGCTGTATTACAAAAACAATTTCTGAAAGTTACAAAAATGCCCAAGTGTCTAGAAATTAAAGCATAAAGTTTGCCATGTTTTGAGTCCAAGTTTTAATCGCTCGGAAGGATTTGTGTGGGAGAACAGCATGTCCCACTGAGCGTGCACAGTCCCCCCAATTGAACAGACATAATTATGTCACTTTGTATCTACCAGAGTAAACACAATCGTGCTCTTAATAATGTACATTGTGGCCACAAACTTCCTTGATCTTCCTAACAACTGCAGCAAACACTGCATAAACCTTATTATACACTACCTACACAGAGAACTGCTACATATGTACATCTAAGTAAAGACCTGTTAATTTTGCATTTGCTCAGCAGGGCTTGAAACATCAGCCTATTAATTTTTCTTCTTTTCTGTATTTTCATTTTTTTCAGGTGCTTTGAGTCAGAAGATAAATGGAATGTGTGCTTACAACTGAAGCAGATAAAAGAGAAATAACTACATATTAAGGCATTTTGTGGTGTTACAGTGCTAAACAGAGACACAATATTGAAGAAGAAATATCTCCACTATCCATTTACATCCATGCAGGTGTCTGCTGGCATCAAATAGGCAGATTTGGTACACAGTTTGTAAAAAGAACTATGTTAATTCCAATAGAAAATGTACAAAATATAAATGCAATATAAAAGGCAATATAAAATGTAATTCCAGTGTAAAAATGTGTTTTATTATATACAATATACACAATTTTCCTGAAGGTGATACAGTGATTTCAGTAGATTCTGAATCTCTTTTAAAATTACAGTTTCTCAAACAGGAAACTGGGAACAGAAATGCAACTAGATGAGTGCATTCCTAGACTGCAATTTTGGGAATGGGTTTGCTTGAAGGAAAGCCCCCCATGTTGAAGTGAGGTACATCAGTCTTGAGGGGTGGTAATTTCGTCCCCATATCAATGCCGGATCGCTCCTTCTCCCTTTAAATAGAAACAAAGAAACAGAAAATTCATATTTCATTCTGTGGCCCAGAGATGTTTGCAAACTAAGGAAATCTGTGTCCTCCAGAGTTTCTTTCATGCAACCACTATCAAGAGATCATTTTAAAAGTGTTGATTAAAGCCTGTTAGGCTAAACCTCCAAGACTAGGTGTCTGTTTGGATCTAATTACAAAACTACTGATGGGGTTTGGAATTATTAAAAATTAGAAATAAATGAGCTTTCTTTATGCTACTCCCCAAAATGGTCAGAGCACCTCATTAGAGCAAGTATGTACATGAGCTCCATGACTGCAGATTTCTAATCACCATCCTGTTCTAGCTGGAACATGCCGGTTTTCAAACAAACAGCTACATTCATCAAAGGCACGAAAGGGAGAGTTTCTTTTCCTTTGCTGAATTTTAATGAATATATATAGTGCTATCTGTCTTCACATTTTAACAAAGTTCCAGTGATAATTGCCCTGTGACATTTGCAGAAAACTAGCAGTGTGCTGTAGGTGCACTGAGCCCCAGGGAGTTGCTCCACCTGAGAATCCAGGAGGTCTTGAATTTGATGGCCTTAGGAGGAGTGAACGAGGGTTAGCTGGTTCCACTCTGACAAAGTTGGGGAGGTAAGCAGAGCAGTACAAAGATGAAGGGCAATATTCCAAACTCACTGCAACATACCTGGATGCTTCAGAGAGAGGTCCTGAGATACTTAAGATTAACCAAGTGGAGCTTTATGAAGTTCTAGTTTATCCTAACAGTCTCAAGGCTTTACAAAGAAAGTCAGTACCATTCTTTCATTTCACAGTCACTGAGATTGAGAAAAATTTGAGTGCAACCACACTTTTACAAAATCTAGCTATGTCACAGGAGCATCTTTCCTCAGTCCCCAGTAAGGGGAAAGAAAACACTTCTGGAATTATTACTTTTCTATTTGCCCCTAAATAATTGTCAGAATAGGAAGAAATTCAGAGAAACTGTGTCAGATGTCTAGTTATGCATCCTTTTCCAAATTTGACCCATACAGAGGTAGAATATCCAAAAGATGGCACAGATGAACTTAACAATCAAAACCACTTATAACTGTTTTTAATTGTATCAATGTAGCCCTAATGGATGTGCCAGATGACAGCACCAAAAACTAACATTCTGTATTCAGATGGATTATCCCATCTCACTGTTGGATTTCCAAGTCTGGGGAGATAAAATGATCCAGAATCCATGCTCATTTTTAACTCATGCTTCCATGGAGACAACAAACAGATGTGCTCATCAGTATGGAAAATTCTATGCCACTGAATACTATAATATATTATGCAGAATTAATGTGCAACCAGACACGTGCAAAAGCTCCCAGTTACTACTGACATCCCTCATTGCAGTTATTTACATATATAGGACTGCTGGATTAGGTCTCTGGTGTGGATTTAAGCTTCATATTTTCTCACAAATCCTTATCAGAATCAAAATGGGATCCTGGTGCTAGAAGCAACTAGGAAAATAGTGATGCAGAAAGGGTTCAAGAAACTGAAGTTAAAAACAGGAAGAGATAGAAAAAGAACAGCTAAGACAACTGGGAAAAGCAACATTTAGAATTAGAGAGCTGAAAAAGAGGACTTCAAACTCACAACCAAAATCTTAAACATTGAATTTTAATTTTTTAGCCAAAGTTAAATTCCCACTGTCACTATATTCCTTCAGCATCACATGCAAAGCTGCATTTATTCAGTACCAAGATGTTAAATCACAACTCAAAGTTATCTTGTGCAAATCAATAAAAGCTTTAGATGATAACTTTGTGTAAGGTTATCTGAGAGCATTAATTCTCTTTCATTCCAGCGTAGTCAATAATGTCGGTAATGCTATTGTCCTGACAGGATCCACTTTTTATTAGCAAAACCAGCTACATTTATTTCAGACATGATGTTAACATTAGCAAGCAAGATAGAGAATCAAGTCAGTGGTTTTCTGTCAGCTGGGATTTAGAGAAATCTGAGATTGTATGAATCAAATGGCCCTGGCTCTTTGGTCAACATCCACAGAGCAGGCACTGCCTGTCCAGCCCTGCCTGAGGCAGCAGAGCTGTGGAATGGCTCTATGGCAGGGAAGAGCACTCCTTGGGGAAGAACCTGACTGCACAACAGGTTCTCTCTACTGCAGGAAGTCAGCAGTGTGTCTTGCACACCTGGCAGGTTGGAGAAGGAGGGCTGCACAAGGTTGTTTCCCTTGCCAACACAAGGCACAGTCTAGAGACAGCAGAAACTGCAGTTATCCAGGACTGGTATGCCCAGTTCTGCCCCTGTGCTCTTCAAAGAAGGGTCCAGTCCAACAGGCTTGACTGGGGTACAAAGCAGTGAGGGGCAGAGGACAGCAAAGCCCAGCACCACCCTCGGCTGCCACAAGACAGCAGAGGTGCAAGCCAGGGCTGGCAGCACAGTGCTGGTGCCTTCTGAGCTGTGGTGGGAGCCACAAGATGATGCCAGCCTGCAGAAGCACCACTAACAGTACCTGAATGTGCTCCCAAAACACAGATGCCATAAAGACACCCATGCTCATCAGACCACAGTCATGCTTGCCCAAAAGAACAACCTGACAAGCTGTCCCAGTGGCAGGTATCTATCCTGAACCTATAAACAGTGTATCCAACATTAAATGACTTTCAATATGAAATTCCTTTCGCTGTATAACATGCCCCAGTTCAGCCACCATCGACTCACACAGTATTTTTTGTTTTATTTTAAAGCAATTACGTCCTTAACAAGTGGAGTTTTTATGACAGGAATTAATTCTAGGTGAGATATAACAACAAAATGTAGGTGAATTTCTCCTCATTTTATGAAGAGAAAGAGACATGATGCCAGAGTCCAAAATGGAAACAACAAATCTACTATGAAGGAGACATTTAGCTACCGGAAATGGATTATCAGGCATTATGGTAGCCTCACATATTGATCCTAAAGCTCCAGAAAGGCCATTAGCACTGCACAATTGTTGCTAATTCCAAACATTAAGGTAACATTATGCAATTTGCAGATGGACAAAAGTCACTGTTTATCACTGATTATTTTTCTCATTTAGTCATCAAATCATTTGCTGTATGAAATGGGATTAAGGAAGAAGTGATAAAGGCAACTTTAAATTATATTCAGCAAATGTAGAGAACTGTTGCCTTTAGTGTGTGAGGAAGGCACAGGCTGAGAATGGAAGTGAGTGGAAAGACAAAAGGCTTTCTGTGCAAACAGAAAAACTTGGTAACAGATCACATCATCTGACTGCAGAAATCTAAGTAATCTCTCATTCAGGGTGAAGTCCACCCTCAGCACCCTCCACAAATTTTCAGATGACAACAAGCTGAATGGGGCAGTTGACTCACCTGAGGGATGGGATGCCATCCAGAGGCACCTGGATAAGCTCAAGAAGTGGGCCCATGGGAATCTCTTGAGGTTCTACAAGACCAAGTGCTGGGTGCTACACCTGAGTCAGGGCAAGCCCTGGTATCAATCCAGGATGGGGGACAAACAGATGGGGAGCAGCCCTGCCCAGAAGGACTTGGGAGTACTGGTGGGTGAGAGGCTGGACATGAGCCAGCTATGGGCACTTACAGGCCAGAAATCCTGTTGCTATAGGACAAGAGAGAAGGGTTTTTAACTAAAGGAGGGTAGATTTAGACTAGATATAAGAAGGAAATTTTCTGTTATGAGGGTGGTAAAAGACTGGCCCAAGTCGCCCAGGGAAGTGGGAGATGACCCATCCCAGAAACATTCAAAGTCAGGTTGGGACTCTGAGAACCTCATATAGTTGGAGACGTTCCTGCTCATTGCAGGGACTTTGGACTAGATGGCCTTTAAATGTCCCTTCCAACCCAAACTGTTCTATACTTCTATGATTTGATGTCAGAAACAAGACACTAATCTGTGTTCTCTGGGCATCATCTCATTGGTATGAATAATTTAACTGGACTGCAGAACATATTCAGCAACATCTCTGATGGATGTTCTTGTCCTGGCCATAGATCATGGTAAATCCAGACCAGACTGAAGTAACATGGAGGGTAACATTCAGGAAAATCAGGCAACAAAACTGTATCATCTCAGTAAAATCTGGTCACATTCTGATCAAAAGGGTCTAAAACAAAAATCTAGCTTCTGCAGGAAGTTGTGTAGACAAAACTGTTGTTTTCCCATACTTTTTCTGTTGCTCCTTGCGTTTCTGAGACAGGTATTTCTTTTTCACTTCCAGAAGCTCACTGTTAAGTCTTTCAATTTCATGTTTGTATTCTTTGCTCTGTGTTTCACACATAGTCAGTTCTGAGGACAAAGCCTAATAAACAAAACACAAACAGCAGAAACAGGAGATGTTGCTTCACTTATGCATAAGTCAGTACTTTTACAACCACTTTTTCCTTTTTTATTTGAAGATGTAAGACATGATCATTTTCCAGCACAACTCAATTCCATCTTGATCTTTCATTTGATCTCATCTCAGTTCACCTAAAAACATCTTACAAAATAAAGGTTATGCCATTTAACCATAATACAACATGTAAAATACACTCCAATATTTATGGGAATGACATTAATAGATTAGCTCTTAATTTCTGAGACATAAAGCTGGGCAAAAATACAAAATTAAGGTCTTAATAAATCAGGGAATTATTTTATAATAATGGGGTTTATTCACAGGGATGCACAGCTAAGTGGAGTAATTTAATCCAAACAGGCAAAGTAGTACCAGGCACTGTAAATATGAATATAAAGCCACTTGCATGTGAATCAATAAAATTTTAAAAAAGGGGGAGCATGCATAGTGCACATTCTTTCTTTCAAAAGAGTGATAGCTTGACCTGGCACCCCAAAATGGCATGGACACCATCATGCTACAGCATGCTGTGCTTGAAATACAAAGTAGCAATTGACTGCATTAAGGACAAATAAGGACCTTATGGAGAACTTCAAATCACGTTCAGTTTAGCTAAACTTTGGCTCCTATTTCACATTTTCTACATTGTTTTTCTTCCCCATGGAAAGCTAAGATTTGCATAACAGCCTCTTTGTTTCCTAAGGGCCCATCTGTTCCTGCATTTTTTTCCTCATGGTTAGTATAGACGTGATTATGATGCAGTGAACAGGAGATGATGACTTCAACAGAGAGAGGAGCTGCAGAAGTAGATGAACTCCTGGGGAGACTGATCTCTCATGCAGTCAAGAATAAGAGAAGATCAGCTCATTCACAGAATATCATAATATTCTATCAAAGACTCACTTTTTAATATTATGCTTTTAAAATTTTCTACAAGATTCTTTCGGAACCAGGAACTCCTCCCTTCAACTGACAAGAGGTTAGAACAGGTTCCTCCTGTCATCTCCACAAAATGTGCAAATCTAAATATACATGTACACATGGCAAGAGAAATGTAAGTAACTTATGACTGGATTCTCAATATATTCCCACTAGTTTGTTAAAAAGAAAAAAGAAATTACCTTAATTTGCTTCTTAAAGATATTAACAGTTTAAGATAAAGGGAAGGAGAATAAGCTGAATTAAAAGCTGTCAGTATCCCAGAAAGTCCATGCAAAAACCACTTTTACAGTATTGTGCTGCACACTCCTATTGTAATAGGACCTCTCTGCTATTTTAATTAAACAAAGTAGCACAATGTGCAAAAAAAGTTCTTTTGTTGCTCTTGGCTGTCCCTTGAGGAGATGCAGTGATACCCTTGTTTTCCTGGTGCATGCAGCCCCTCTGCCGGGCTGGCAGCCCCTCCCCAGGGACAGTGGGACCCTCTTACTTTGATCTGCTTGGTTTTCTCCCGGAGAATGTTCCGGTACTGCTGCAGCTGCTCCGTGGCTTCGGGCCCAGGCTGCCGGGCCAATACGTGCCTCAGCTCCACATACAGCTTCTCCTTTTCCTAAGGAAGAGACAAGAGGAAGAGCTCTTATTAAACTACTACAGCAGCAGCACAGCCTGAGAGGAAATCAACCTCACTGAAAATTGCAACTCAGTCAGGAAGGTATTTGGAGAAACAAATCTGCCTGTGTGTCACTAGCCATAAGGTATTTAAAGCTGTTGTGATAGCAGTGGGAGAGCTCATTAAGATAAACATCCAGCTACTTCAAACCACAAACGAAATGCTCTTAAACACCATCACTAGCAAGCACTCTCTACCTCAGCAGTTACTGGAAGAGTATCCAGGGCTGGGAAATTAATCACTAGAAACTGTGCTTATTGCAATCTTTCTTCTTATGAGTCACATTGCCTTACATTAAGGATCACAGCTTCACCCAACAGGATGTGAGCTGGCTATAGAAATGTCTGTACAAAAGAGAACTGTACAAAAGAGTTACTTCTTCCAAAGAAAATCCAGCAAAGCACATGTACACAAACACAGAGATTTATAAATATATAACCTTTCAGTTTAACTGCAGGGGCTCTGGGAAAGGGAAAGAAATTATAAACAGCAACAATTATGACTAGCACAATTACCAAGTAATTTTTCTTTGTCATGTGTCTCCTCTTCCTTTATGCTGGAACAGTAATACTTGTGGGAGGTGGATATTGCCATGCCTGAAAAGAAACCACACCATGGACCCACTTACAGCTTTCTGTACTGAAATGCTGCTTTCAGCTGTGTTTTGAGAGTGTACTTGTTTTTAGTCTCAAGAATTAAGCTCTGAAAAAAGCCACCTTCATAATTTTGCACATTACAATAGTTTTACTATCTACCCTGAAAAACTAAGGTCATTAAATAATATTATTTAGTAAGATCACATCCTTTTCTGGTACATTGAAACTGGAATTAAAAAGGAGACTAGCAGACAAAAGGTTTAACTGAGGAAGACAAAAATGCCAAGAAGGAGGTAGGATAGGTGATTATTTACACTGGATTTGACAAAGCCCCTTTTAACTGTCTTTTTTAAAAGCTCTCTCTACAACTCTTACTGCAGAATTCATCTGTTGATGTGGGAAATGGTGCAATCACGTCATCTAGAATTGCTACATTTGGTCTTTCTCAGTGGTTGAGCCACTGAGAAACCACTGAGTGGTTTTCAGAAGTGGTTTGCTATTTTGAAGATGTAAAATTTTAGATGTCCAGTCTTCAAGGGCATAAGGAGGCTGGAGTTTTTAGACCTCATCATTTTCTGAAAACTATGCACTACAATGGTCACAAGTTGGGACCCCCAAAATGGAATCACTTCAAATCATGCCTTACTTTTGCAAGCATTGTCCTTAAACTCTGCAGATTACTGAGGAAGAGTTGCTTATAAATGAAATTGTTTATAGTTTATCTCCGGAAAAATCAAAACCTCCTGAGACTCAGACCGAGTTTTCCCTAGCAGCAAATAATAAATTGTTAATTCATTCTGAGTAGAGAGTTATTATACCACTTCATAGTGGTATTTCTACTACCATCTTTTCTTTCTGAGAAAGTAAGATTTTACTGCAAAGTAAAAACAACAGCAAAAGAAAAATCCACCTTATCAAAATCTGGCCGGTCAATATTAACATTTCAACCCTGAATGTACCATATATTTGTATTTTGTAATAGTGCAATAGTATTTTGGGTAAATATGAGGCAATTGATAGATTGAAGGTCTTAAGTGCAATTGTTTTACAATTTTTTTCTCTCCCTACTCCCCACAATGGCCAACCAAGTTCTTCAAACACTGTGCAATGGCGTGTATAATAACCTCATTTAGAGACAAAGCATGCAATTCTATTGTAAGGAGAATCTATTTTATGCAGCAGAGACTCATTAGGTGTCCAATGTATATTGTATACATAATCCAACAGAGGCAGAACCAGATGTCTTATAATCCTGTCCTTCCTTGCTGAGCACTGTCCATCTCTTTTACATCTAGTCAATTAATTTGTCACTGGGTTGGAAGCACCATATGTCAGCAAAACATTAAAATAAAACCTTGGATACTTCTTTCCTCCTCAGCAGAAGCCTGTATCCACACGTTGGCATTTCTATAATTTCTGAAATTTTTCCCCAGGATCCAAAAAATAAATTAAAAAATAATAAAATAATTTCAGTTAATTTAAAAACAGCAGCCACAAGAGTAAATCTATGTGAGTCACAAGGTGTATGTGCTTCCATCTCTACACGTAAGAAATCAGAAATGACCAAGAAAAAAATATCAGCAAAAATTCATAAGCAAAAACTTTGTTTTCTGTAATAGATAAGTCAATCCATTACGACTGGGTTTCTTCTGCTTGTCCCAAACTGCCTCCCCTCACATTTCCGTCCATCCTCACGCCAGGCTGCCATCACAACACACATCTTACCACAGTTCTGAGGTTTTGAGATCAAAGAACTTAGAGTCTCAAACACACTGCAAGGCACAACTCTTCTTCTTGAGGTGAAGGAAGAGCCATCAAATCTCTGTAAATCCATGCTGTTAAGCCTTCACTGGTAAGAGTAATGTACCTGCATTCAGATCAGATCTGGGCCAGAAACAAAGCTTGCTACAAGATCCTTCCACCAGAAAATTCCCATGGAATTCAGCGGTTGTTTGACTGTAGGACTGAGCCCAAAACATCAACAAGTTTCACTAGTTTATGACACAAACTAAGCCAAGATGATGGCACATTCATTTTGTGGATGTAGGGCACACTGGGACACTCGGGCTGAGGATTAAATTCCAGGCATTCCAAAGAGCATTTCAGCACCTCTGTGAATACCTGCTGTAACAATTCTGCAAATAAAACTGCACATTATTTTTAGAACAGCCCTTCCTGTCTTAGATTTGTTTCCTGGGGGATCTCTGAGGAGCTCACACATCTGTCAGTAGGCCCAGCCATGACAGTAATTTTCTTCTTCCCTAAGTCTCTCACACATTAATTTGGAGAGGGATGGTGGGGAAGTAAGTGGTGCTTTCCCCTAAATTTAAGTAGGTGCTGTCTCAGCTATATTCTGTAGCTCTCCTGGCCTGCTTGCTCTACAGCAAATTGAGAAAAAATTATTTTCTTCTGCAGAAGACTGGCTAGCATTTGGCAAATCTTAGTTAATTGTCCAGGATTAGGTGGTCACGATTTGGATCCATCTTCAGCAAGAAGAATCAATTTTGCCAGCAAAATCCTACTTCAAAAGAAGCTATTGCTGCTGAACAGCACAGCCCCATTTGCTTTTCCATGTGAGAAGGACCATCAGTACCATCAAACACATTCCCAAAATGTCAGCAAGGCATTCACAGCCACTGACAGGGAGTGGGAAACATTCAGCAGTCCCAGGCTGGAACAGAGCTCTAAAGATGTGACCCCATTTTGTGTCATCCTGTCCCTCACAATGACACCAGGAAAAGTGGACATCTTGTTAGGTAGCCCAGCATTTTATTCAGAACCAGAGATGATGGATGACCATACATTTAATGAAGATGTATTCACAGTAGAAATAGGCCCTGCAGTCCCAGTTTCCTCATTTTTATCCAAATAGATCGTTCAACAAATTTACCTGGCATAGCAGCACCCCAAGAGCTTTCTCTACCAGACCCATAAAAATCCTATTTGCACCAAAACCTTTCTATCACATGAATTACTAAAACAAACAAACACACACAAAAAATCCAAAAGACTTTGCATCAGAGTAAATTTAACTTATGTCAGTTCCTGTGTCCAGCAACTGAGCTAAAGAATAAACAAGATAAAGATGTAGTATAAAAGTGTGCAATGTAGTGTATGGCAGCAATCCCCAAAAACATTCAACTTAAATAAAAATTCTTATTTTAATTAGTAAGGTGGAGAAACCAATACAGTAACCATGCACTTTACAGTTCAAGGCTTTGATGGGAGTGACAAGTCCATCAGCATGCCACAGGGGGGTTCTTGTTTATTAGCACTGCAACCAAAATACAAGTGCTGTGCTGAACTCCAGAGACATTTTGTTTACGATGCCATGCAGCAGCAGAGCATCCTTAGGGGTGGTGATTCCTCTTCATAAGTGTTAAACAGGATATGGAAATCTGGATAAAATACTTACACAGACATACATACCTACTCATAGTAATTTTGGCTGTATAAGCCCTACATTTATTTATGTTCTTTATACCTAGCAGTAGTTGTTGGCTCAAGACACTTATCTATAAAATTTTTATGAGGTAAAGAAAAAAAATTAGCATTCGGTGACCTTCACAAATTTTATAATAACAGAAAAAAGTTGCCTCCAGCACTATGAGAAATGTGCAGTATAAACTTTCTCTGTAAACACTTTCCAAAAGCTCCTGCTTTTTCCTGTCTGTTCCACATCCATCAGCAAACACCCTTGCAAGGATACAGTTCCCTAGAACAGCTCCTGTTTTCATTATCACCTAAACACTTCTTTAACTGTCCAGGTTTCTTATCAGGTAAATCAATTACGTTTGAAAGAGGACAGTAAGGCCCTTTCACAGTGCGGCAACATTAGCACTGAGTTAGATGTTTTGGGCTCTCCTGTGAAAACCACCAGCTTGAAGTAAAGGCTGGGATAATCTCATCTTTGGTGAAATCTGCACTACTCAAACTTGTCTTGTAACTTATTTCTCCAGTTGATAATAACGCTTCTCAAGAGCAAATCTGTTTCCTTCGGCACAGAGCAAACTGCACCAAATTGACAGGCATTTTCAAAACAGCTTAATGAGAGTGGAAAAGAACACCTTGGAGCACCTCATAAGGTCTTCACCCTTGACTGTTTTTTGCAACAGCAAGAGCTGAATGCTGCAGTATCACCATCTTCCAGGAACAACAAAGTATGAACATTTCCACCTGGAGTGCAACTGCAACTTATTTTTATTATTATTGCTAGGAACTGTTACTATCAGATCTTCCCTAATAAGGGTGTAGGAAAACATTTTTTTTCCAATGAACAAACAAATAACTTACATATACTCCTCTCCTTTCAACTTCTGAACTCTGAGACACAAGGTTAACAAT